TTGTAAATTGTACTTTTCGCAAAGCATTTGAATAAGCGATTGCAGGGTACGTCTTTGTTCAAGCGTGTCCATATCAGCCATTGCTGGGCAAAAGTCATAGGTAGCCAAATTACCTAGATTCAGTAATGTCNTGGCTGTACTCCCGACTAACATTCTGTACTTCCGACGACTCTCAGTCAGTTAATGAAAATAGCTGAATTTCTGATTAAAACTGAACGGAAGATATACAAGAATACGCAAAACATTTTGCTTAATGGATGTTATCTACTGTTTGAGGAGTATCTACAAGAAAATACATCTTTTTATATTCTGAAACCGGGCCGAGAAATAGGCCAAAGTTTAAAAAAAAATGTTCTACGGGGAGGTAAGCTTCTTATTAAGAACAAACATTTTGCATGAATAATAAAACAATTATTGAATATGGCTTTTTGACGCACGTCAATTGGAAGTATAAAGGTCTCTTCCCTTCTAATATGCCTTGACGGTGCCAAATTTGTATTTCTAAGTGTTTTTACTCTTATAGAAACGACTTGCCCAAAAATTTGGGCAAAACTACTGCACACGAAGCACAACTTCCAGACCTTTACTTGAGCTCCATAATAACTCAAAATGCATGCATTCTACGGGTCACAGTCAGTTTGTAAATTTCAAATTGCACGCATATTATATGTAAATACAGGGTGTTTCAGAAGTTCGTTCCCATTGTAAATTGTACTTTTCGCAAAGCATTTGAATAAGCGATTGCAGGGTACGTCTTTGTTCAAGCGTGTCCATATCAGCCATTGCTGGGCAAAAGTCATAGGTAGCCAAATTACCTAGATTCAGTAATGTCTTGATCGCATAATGATTGGTGTGTTCGATGTTATTTTTTAAGGCTTTAGATATGCCCAGAAGTAGTGAGCGACAGTATTCTAAATGCGGTAACACGTAAGCTTTATAAAGGGAAATCATAACGTCCGAAGGAACAAAGCGCTTAATCCTCCGTAGTGCGGAGCATACACTTTTTTCAGAATGATTGCCACGTGGGGCTGTTTATTTGGAGGTAATTCGCAGTGAACCAGAGGGTTAATCTCTCTATATCTTGATTCAGTGTAGATTCAAGTGCGCAGGGGCTCTCACGGCTATATATTGCGTTGTGTCGTCAGCATACAGACGTAGGGAGGAAGATCCAGCTGAGTAATTGACATCATTCACAAAGACATAAAAAAAGCGGACCTAGAAGGCTCCCTTGCGGTACTCCACAGCGAACAGGCAGCCAGTCTCACACCTTCCCGTTACATTTTACTCGTTGAAAGCGGCCCGATAGATATGACTGAATCAGTTTTATGGCCAAATCGTGAACGCCGTAAGCTTTCAGTTTTGCTAGTAAGAAATTATGGCAAATCGAGTCAAACGCTTTGGATAGGTCAACAGCGACTACCGCCACATCCTTTTTATTGTCAAGAGCCCGGCGCCAATCATCAGTTAGCTTTAATAAAGCGGAACAGCAAGAATGCCCACGCAGGAACCCTGACATATTATCCGAAAAGACTGGTATGAATACGCTATATAATTAAGCAAATTAACTGACAAAAAATTGTCTCGAATATGATGTATGCCTTTTTGTGTGTAAGATGTCAAAACTAAAAATCGATACTTGTGCGCGAACGATCATGGAAACCTCTCGGTACTGTATTGGTCTTCATGCAACTTTTCGTTCAGTTGGCTCCTAATACAACTGTTGGTGAAGTTGTTATCAGGACCTGGTCTGGCTAAGAGGAACTCCCCCAGTAACAGGGACAAATACTAGTCGGACTTAATATCTTTAATTTCTAGACGTGAGAGGTACAGGAGGGTAAATCTCCCTCCTCCCTACTTTTTCAGCCGATTTCTCCCTCCTCCCTGCTTTTTGGGGCAATATCTCTCTCCTCCCTAAACTTGGTTTAAAATTGCGACGAGCAACACACGACTCCTACACTTAGTCGTAAAGGAAGTAGACGACCTCACAGCTTCGCCTCTACACCAACATACCACTATGCACCGTATGTATCCATACGAAATTTTTTATGGAGCGAAAGCCCATATACCTAACCCCGGGTACTCCCATATATAAGCCATATAGGTATGTACCGCCCCAAAGGGTTGGGTTTTTGCGCCGTTTCGGTCTGAAAACGGGTATAGACTTAGGTCTGGGATTGGGTATGGTTTTCGAGGAAACTTACGGGTCACTATGAAGACATTACCAAACCAGAAACCGCGCATAAAAAGTCTCTGGGAACCTAGGGTAATTAAACCGCTGTTTTGGAAAAGATATGTTGACGATGCGTTTTCCCTATGGAACACAAGTCGAGAGAGCTAAAATTGTGCAAAAGGCAAATAACTTTCACTCTACTATCAAATACACGGCTGAGATGTCAGAAACAGAGATCACTTTCTTGGACACAAAAGTGTACAAAGGGATTAGATTCAACAAAAAACCAATCCTAGACGTGCAAACATATTATAAACCAACCAGGCGCCCATGCCCCAACAGAAGCCTTTCTCGTGTCAACCATCAGGCGTGAAGAAATTCTTCATTAAAAGAGAAGCGCTCAGGCGTCTAAGGACTGATTCCTCTCAAACCACTTTTGAAAAAATATAAAAAATTAGGAAAAAAGCCTGATAGAAAGAGGCTACCCTGTCCCTATTGTGAGAAAGTACCTGTCTGAGTTAAAATTCGCTGACAGGAAAACAGTCCTTCAGCAGAGCAACAAATCCGCACGTAATAAACTACTGCCTTTCGTTACACAATACCACCCGGCTTTACTTGGACTAAAGGAAATACTATGGTGTAGCTGCCATCTATTTCCGAGTCAAATACGTGAGGTTTTCTTCTTGTCATGTGCAGAATTTCCGAACAATTCCGTCGATCTTCTGAAGACTTCCGAACATTGCCGAAAATGTCCAAAGATGTTCCGACGACCTTTTCAATGACGACATTTCTATAGTGTGTTCTAATTTGGATTATCGGTATTTTCGGGAACATTGAATTTAATTTTCGTTATCAATCATGTGTTAGAGAACAATTCGTCCGGATTTGTGAGTCAGGCGTGAGAAATTGTCTTTGATGCTTGAGGTCGATTTCTTAAGTCCGGAGGCGGAAGACTCATGCATAATGCGTGAGTGGGAAAACGGCACCTTATACAAAAAACAACAACGGCTAAGAGAAATCTTTAAGGAGTCTCCCCTCATATCATATCGCAAGGGAAAATCCCTTAAGGACCTATTTAGTGCAGGAGTCGTCTGTTGCGGCTGTTGTTGTCAAGTTTTGAAACTGGTAACCTGAGATGCGTCAAAATTTGATTCCATACCCGACCAAGGAAGTCCCAGGAGACCCAAGGCGATTGCAGAGTACGTCATGACCCAAGTTAAAGAAAAGCAATAATTTTTTCCTTCTCGTCGATATCTCGCTCCCTCCCTACATTTTCGCCCCGATTTCTCCCTCCTCCCTATTCAATACCTCCCCCCTCTTTCTAGAATGTTATTCCCCTTTGTTCTAAAAGAACACTAATATTCCAGTTTGCATTTAGCTCCGAGGAGTTATGTTGGCTGAATTTTCTAACTTATCAGGGACTTAAAGCCAAAGAAAGCAAGGGGAATATTTGTAGCAAGGCTCCTGTTCAGATCTGTATTTCATTCGGGGAAATGCTGTCATATGAATACCCTTTATTTCACATTAATCATTTCTTTTCTCTTGATCTTGAGCTGAGCTAGGTTGTTGTGTAGCTTTTTGAGATACTCATTAGCTTTTGTAAAAGTCCAATCTATAAAAAAAAAAAAAACATCCGGAAATACACACTTCCAACTGACATTCGCTTGAAACTGGGCCACTTAACAAATTTATATCCATTTTTAACGCTCACATAGTTCAATAGTTATCCGGCATATCATAACAGCGCATAAACTAGCTCAGACGGAAAGCCCTTCAGACTCTTAAGTCATTCCGAGAGGTCAGAGCAATGGCAGAAAAGGAGCTGAAATGGTTCTCCAAAGCGTATATTCTTGGTTCTTTTTGGAACTTCATCACTGATATTCAGTTTCACACTACCGCACGGGAATCAAGAACGGAATTCTTTCGCGCAGATCACATGACATCGTTCGCCGTGGGACTAAGATTCAATCAGTTTTATGTACATTTTACCACGTATGTTTTCTTTTAAACTTAGAGTATTATTTACGTTAAACGGAAGACATGGTTAGTCACGCGATCGAGATCAGTGCACGCTTTACTTTGTGGCTGCCATTTATTCTCTCTAGCCTTGGTAAAACTCGAAACATTTATTTTCGACCTGGAGAAATTCTGGAAAATGAATAAAATCCAACCGTCTTATATCAGTGAAAAATGACCACCGACGAAGAAAAAGTGTATGGAGGTCTACTGCATTGCATAAAATTAGCTCTCATGTACGAGACCGTTCTTCGATCATCTCGGTTAATTACTGATTTAATTGTACCCGTGATGGCTGTTCAACAAGAATCAGTAACGATCGTTCAGACGCTTTTAATTTTCTCCCTGTTTCCTAGGTCTGGCCTTCCTATCACTCCCTTCGTCCCCACTTTCCTTAATAATAAACTCAAATATCCCCCAGTGATCGCGAGCGACTGGTGACGAAGGAGGGAAAGGAGCCCAGTAGGACCGATCAAATTGGACCATCTTCAAAGGTGTTCCCAAATATTCCGGTCGGACTAAACCGAAATGATCTGTGCCATTTGATTTCTAACCGAAATTTTCGGAATTTTGGTCTGAATGGAAAGCGTCCAAGAGTCCCTTATAATGATTTATAATCACATGTCACTGGATAGTTTGTTTAATCCTCTTTGTAAAAACTGCCATTCACTACAAATTCCATTCTAATTCAGTAAGTGCATTTTATGGGTCACATAGATCACAACTTTCCCAAGCATCATAAACACAAGTCAATGAAACAGGACGATCTTTATTGTTTTGTGCAGTCAGCAGCTGAGTCAGAAAGGTTGAAGTAATGGCGGAAAAGAAGCTCAAATGGTACGACATCTTCGTGGTTCTTTTTGGAATCATTTTAAGCATTGCCGACCCCATCACAGATATTCTTACGCTGGTAGAATTCTACCGCGCAGATCACAAGACATGGTTCGGTGTGGGGCTTACATTCGTTATTTTGCCAAGTGTGTTTTTTATTGTTGTTAACTACGAAGTTAACAAGGTTACAGGGAGTAAATGGCAGTCTGAGGCTTGCAACTTCATACATGTTTTAGTCGTTGGATGCAATCCACTCCTTCCGGCCTGGCTGAAACTGCGAACGCTTTATTGCTACCTAAAGAAGTTACTAAAACTCAGGCAAGGTAATAACACCGATCAAACGGATGAAGACTTGGATGGTCTACTGGATTTGAGCAAAGTCGCTGTTCTGGCCGAGGCCGCTCTTGAGTCAGCTCCTCAGTTTATTATTCAGTTGTACGCCATGGCTGTTCAACAGCAATCGGTGTCGATCATTCAAATGGTTTCCCTGCCTGTGTCTTTCCTCAGCTTGGCTTGGGCGTCTACTGTCGGCGATGAGTTTCTTTGGATTGACAAAGGAGACTTCCATTTCAGTGTAAAACAAACAGTTTTACTTTTTGTAACGCACTTAATTATTTTAAGCAGTCGACTTTTTGCAGTTGCTTTGTTCACCGTAAGCTACAAGTGGTGGGTTACCAGTGTTTTAATCCTTCACTGTACGGTGATAACGATATGTGACAGAGTTTGGCTTTGTAGAGTACAAAGAGCTGACAGAACCACCGAACGATTTTCGTCGGTTGTGTATTTCTGCCTCCATTGGCTACGAGATGATTTGTCATTACTAGTAATTCATGATAACGCCGGATACACTGAACATTTAAGAATGCAGTTGTTTTCCAACGTGCTCTTTGTGATAGAAAACATCACCATGATCCTGTTGTTTTATTTCAGTCATTTCCCCCACACCTGGTACTGCTTACCAGTCACCATCTGTGTCTGTTTATTTGCTGTTCTTGGAGCCGTTATGAGACTTACTCACTTCCACTTCTTAGAGAAGGAATCAGATGATCAATCAAATAACACCGATCAAGTGCAGCAGCAATCGCATAGTAATCCCATCGAGGTTGCAGCAACATAAAACGGAGTTAGATCATAGTCTGATCTTGTATATTGGTACGCAATTATCGGTGATAATGTTGGCTGACTACGAACCGCAACAAATAATACCGATCAAGTGCAGCAGCAATCGCACAGTAATCCCGTCGAGGTTGCAGCAACATAAAACGGAGTTAGATCATAGTCTTATCCTGTATTGGTGCGTCTCAAGTTTTTATGTGATCTGTTACATTATGTAGGCTAACTATAATGTTTAAGAGTCGCAACTAGGGAAAGTAGAAAAGTACTGTCAACTGGGACACACATTTAAGCCATTATGTTATGTTGATTTACTGACTTATTTACCGTACATGTTGTAATTTGTGAGTAATTCAGTAATTATTTATGAATTAATTAGTTCAAAAGTTCCTAAACTAAACTAAACTAAACTGAACTATACTAAAACGAGCCAAATGTTTCTTATTTACTCTGTCATACTTGTGGTCCTCTTGTGGTTATCAAACAATACAATCACTTATGCTCATTTTGTTCCCGGTTTTGTTGTACTGGGCTGGCAGTGAAGTTTTAAAATATTGACTCAATTGAAGTGTGACAGTTCATGACAAATTCTGACAAAATAGCAAAACTGTAGTTGTCGCTAAGACCTTGAGGGTTAACATCCTTGTAATATTGTTGAACATTATCACTATCGCAATGTTGATTTTTGCAACATACCTAGTTAGAGAATAAGCTTTCAAACATACTATACTAAAAAATACGCCCCGGGTCATAATTATATTGCGCTCTGCTTTGCGTGAGAAAGCGGTTCTAATGTTTAAAACAAAACTTATAGGTGTCTAAAATATGTAGTATCACAAAAGCTTTTATTAAAGTGACTTTGAGATCACTTTTCAATTAGGGCAATTAATTATCATCACCTTAAAAACGCGAATAGTTGTTAAGTATAATTTATAGCACTCTAAACATTCCGGGCCGGCATACAGTCTGCCATTTAAAATTAAACACAATCTAATGCCACCCAAAACTTTCTTTTCCAAAGAGTAGAAGAGAGGGACTCGCCGCATTTCATCGAATATTTTAAAATTCTGGCCTTATTCAAAGGAGCGCTCTTAATCGAAGAAGGTGGGTGGCCTATTAAAGTAATGCTTAAAATAACTGAAATAATTGCGGCAAAAACTAAAATACTTGGTCAAGATCACGGCTGGATATTGACCAAGTTCGCAAAACAAAAGAACGAGGCAAATACACAGCCATTTTGACCAAATAAGTTTGGTGTGTTAAACGATGAAAATCGTCAGCGTCGAAAATATATACAAGTCAGCAAATTTTTTGCTTTGAGTTAATGGTGTTTTATCTAGTGTATGTGGTTCAGTTTCCTCATAATCATACTCATCAATTGGTGTTCTCTGGCGATATGAGAAAGTAGTTTTGTCCCATAATTTAATCCTTTGTTATCGACTCAAACGAAACTGCTGTTTCAAAAACTGTTCGTTACTTGTGGCGATATCAACAATACGTGTTTATGGTAAAGTTGATTTAGCTACTATAACCTTTCTACCAATCGATCTATATATTCATTTTTGTATTGTGTGCTTTAGTGAATATCTGTTATCGATCATTTAATTTGGTAAATTATGTTAAAAAATGCATTAATAATTCATAAAGAAAAAACAAAATAAATTAATGTTTAATAAGTGTCTTTATATCTCGTAATAAAGGACTTAAAGATACAGCTAAACTTTACGTCCAATTTTTTAAGATCATAATAACACCAAATCTAAATATTAGTGCAAGAAGGAGTTGATCTAAATCAGAGATTTTGAAGCCATTCAAAAAACTCGCAGTCGTGTATTCAGCAGGTGTGAAAACTCTCGGTTTCGCCTCGAGTTTTTAAACCTGATTATACACTCGGATCATTATACGTTTCTTACACTCTTGTTCGTCTTTTTTTAACATATACTTATATAACATTAAAGTCACATTGTATTTATAGCATTTTGTCTTCAATATTGTGTTTGCTATATATATTCCTCACTTAATTTTGAGGGCCATTGAACAAAAAAAAAAACTGTTAACAATAGTTTGTTACGACTCCATCTTAAATAAATTTACTGTATTGTATTGTAAAGGCTTTGTTACATATATGGCCAAAATGTTTTCCTCTTTTTTGCGGAAAAAGAAGGGATTCCCGAGGGTCGAGACAGACCCACCCTGCACATCCAGGTTGACAATCAAAACACGGGATTGATTTCATCTTGCCCGGTCAGCCATGGTAGCGTGGCCGAGTGGTTAGAGGGCCGGACTTGCAATTCAGAGGCCTCGAGTTCATGTCCTGCCATGACCGCTGGCTGGATTTGTTCATGGTAGTCCCGAGTTCAAATCCTCGGCCACGCTTGTAAATAGCCAACTGGTTTGCCTCCAGCCAGTTGGGATTCCTAACCCTGTTAAGTTCAAGTAGAATTATTTGTTTAAGGCATTTGCTCGGCCCCACTAACATTAGTGCTATACATACTCAGTTGCACCCAACGACCGTTTTCTGGGAAATATCTGTTCGGAGCCCTCTAGAATGGCTAAAATTTTCGAGAGCCCAAGAACAGGCTAAAAATTTCGAAAATGTTTCGTGGTGACTGTTCGTTGGGCTCAGAGTTTCGGGATTTGTGTGGTTTGTTCACCTAAGAATTTCGGATTCTGTAGTAATCTCTAGATCACCTAGAAATTTCGTAGCTTTCGTAGTAATCTCTAGATTCTGATTTCGGCACCTAGAAATTTCGTAGCTTTCGTAAACTAAGAATAGCAAAATTTTTAAACACGGCTGACAGTCTCATTAGCGAAAATTTCACACCATTGATTTAAAACCCAACGACTCTTTTCTGAGGGTACCAGGCTTACCGGCTACGCGTACGCGAGCGCTATATCAGCGCGCTCATCGCGTGAATGGCGCCTGTCAGTCCTGTGTATCGGTCGATGGACACTCAGGACAGTATCGCAGCAGGACTACGGATGGAGGTATCAGAGGGATAACCCAGACAACGCTATTGTAGCACTGTTCTCGGCATCGCATGTATCTGATCTACCGAATTTTAATAAAGTCACATTTCTGACATTTGCAGTTACAGTTAACTGTGTAGAAAATAGGCAACTTTCAGCGTTTCAGAGAACTTTAGCCCGCGAAAACAGACGTTTTTTCACTGTTTTTTTCTTTGCTCGCATACTGACGAGAGAAAATAACGAAACTGTAACGAAATTGTTGTCATTTTTATGCACACTAAAGAACCATACACGCGGTAATAGAAATAACTGTCACAACTAACCAATCATAGGTTATACCAGGAGCTGCTAAACAGGAATGAGGTATTGAAAACAATGCTTACAGGCTCCACTACTCCGTCTCTCCCCAGCCCCAACGCGGTTTTCGCGCAACTTTTCTTGATCCGCTTTCCTTACTAGCGTGGAATACCAGAACAGGCTAGAAAAAACTGACTGAACAAAGAAACCCTTACCTCGGTGTAGTCAGCGTTAAAAAAAAGCTCAAGAGTCAGGTAAAACAAACAACCAAAGGAAATATCAGTATTGTTAAAAATTACTAAATTCCGTTATTACCGCAATAAACACCTCTTCAGCCACAGAGTCTGTGTCATGAACTTTATTTTTACATAAGAAGACACATATCAGAGTGATCCAAGGCTATCTTCTGGAAACCTTGTTCATTTTTCGTTTGCCTGCAAACATGTGCTTAGGCATCTTTGTGGAAATCTTTCTGTCTGCTTCTCCTGGAAAACAAAACATATCAGATCAGCGCACAAATTCTCTTATCCTCTCTCATATGTCATACACGGTTCACCTCGAGAGAGGTTCTCTTTCAATCAATCAAGCAGATCACCTAGACTTACCTGCTTTACCCATACGATTGAGGCCTCTTTGAACAACCTTCGAAAGTTTCTTCGCTTTTTTCTTCTTCTGAAAGCAACAACAGTTGGAAACGAGTTCAGCGTCAGCGGAGCAAAGAATCCCTCGCCGGTTATTTTTGTTACTAGAGACCTTTAGATTCTAAGACGAGGCTGACAACGAGTACGAGAATTTCTCAATGCTAAGCAGTGTGCGCGCGCGAAAAACATTTTGGCGGGAAAACGTGATAGCCGTCGCCATTCAAGTTTTAGCTTGAATGTCGTAGTGGCGGATATTCAACAATTAATTAATGAGGCTGAGTATCTTATGAGGAATTATGCAGATCGAGGAGGGTGTCATCCGTCGATGCCGTAGGCCGAGGCGGATAACACCCTCCGAGATCTCCATAATTCTTCATATGATACGAAAGCCGAATTGAATAATTGTTTTATTATTCATTCAAAATAACTCCTAGTTTAAAAACACAGCTAAAACATGCTTACCTCCATCGATGTAAGTTCATCTTCGATAGTGCACGTTTAGCGTTGTTCAGCTCCGCAAATATTCTCCAAATAGCAGATGTCGCCCCTCGAGTTGTCTTCTTGCTATGTTTTTAGCTATTATTTCGCCTAGTTCTTACTCTTGAAACAAGTGAAATGTCCGCCATTTTTGTTTTCACAGCCAAAACAACTCAACCTCGTCCCAGGTCTTCTCGGTTAACGGTGCATTAACCTCCAAGGAAGCTGCAGTTTTGACGTTATCGGTTCATTAATCGCAAAATTCTTCCAACTGATTTGGTCATCAGTAGCTGGTTATGGTGAATTGTGCGTGTGCTTTTAGCCAATCAGAATCGGGGAAATATTTTGAATGAATAATAAAACTTATTAAATGTAAGAAGATTTATCATTTCTCGATCGGGAGAGGGCTTAACCTCTTTCAATAATGATAACAGTGCTAATGTTTCTGGTGAAAAAAGAGAGTAGAATGAAGTTTTCAGGGGTTTATTTTTTTTAAAGTAATACGCAAAAAAATTCAAATCTCGTACTAGTACTCGCTTTCGTCCTCGAATCTAACGGTCTCTGATACTTTTCTCAGCTGCACAAGATGGCTGCGGCTTTCGCCATTTAACCAATTAAATGGACAATAATGACTTTGAGTACATTTCTAAGTCCTTGGCGTACTTTTCTTTGATACTGTTTACCTGTTTATGATGTACAGGCTAATTTGAATTTTTGAGTCTGTGTAGGAAATCCTTATACGGTGGTTCTAAGATTAAACTTTGGAGCCTGTTAAGGAAAACTTTTCATTGAGTAATGAGCAATTAAACTGCATAAAATAGGCACGTTGGTGGTGTTTTTAAAGTCTTTGAATGAAAGCCTCAAAGCTGCTCACACTTTTATGGAAACAAAGAAGTCTTTGCAGACTATACAAGCTGGGCTCGATCCTGGCTGACTCACGCTAGAAAATGTGCGTGCATGCATTAAAAAGAAGGCTATTTCAGAGTGCTTATGTCTTCTACCGCTGTTGTTTTGTTTTTTACCTCTGGGGATCCGATTCCAGACTGGTCACGTGGTTGCCGCGATAAGCTGCGCGCTCCACTGCTAGCCGCTCTCTTTCTTTTCCGACTCATTGGGGTCAGGGAACGAGATCTTGTTACAGTCTCATCTCCCTGCAAATACGGATGGGTACACATCCAGTGTTATACATGAAATAAACAATGATAATAGGTGCGCATGATAAAAATACTGCCTACCTCTTCAATGCCTTCCATTGCCTCACCCAAATCAGTATCACTCTTTTTTCGGCTGCGAGCGGCTTGAGCCTATGTACAAAAAATATTAAAAGATTAAAACAACGAAACCACACGTGGTCCGGATAAAAACTTTTCAATCCTTGGCTTTACATTGCTTTGCTCTGTGGTTGCCTGAAAAAGTTCGCACCACTTGTTTTAACCAATCAGATTTAAATCGATAACTAGAAATACGCGAATCGCAAGACCTCGCGGAGCACTTCGTGGGAACGGCAACAAGTAGGATGAAAGGGAAATAAGGCAATAGGGAAGAAAATATATAAATGTCAAAAAACTAACGCTACATAAAGAAACAAAACAAAAGTAAAATGACTAAAAATACTAAACGCAAAGGAAAACAAAAAAGAAAAAAAAAAAAAAGGAGAGAGAAGAGAGAAAAGAAAAGAGGCTTTTCGCCCGTAACTCAGCACCTCGTACGTGCCGGGAAATAATTTTACCACTGCGCCACGTGGGGTCGTGAATGAGAGGATAATATTTTATTGAAAGCACTTCTCCTAGAATTTCCGCCAGCACGCCCTGTTTAAGCTGATCAAGCACTTATCTCTCAGTGGGTCTCGTGATTGGCCAGAGAGATTGTGATTGTTAACCTGCACTATAACTCCACTTGTGAGTATCCATTAGTTTCACAAGTGCGAACTGATAGTAAAACTATCGCCTTCTCGGCGACGGCCTTACACACATCCATTAAGTCGTCCACGGAAGAGTGTAACGCCTGGACCGTTAGACTTCGGACTGCTCACTAGTACCAGACTGGTTGTGATGTGAATAAACACAGAATCATTCTAGAGCAGTCCCATTACGCTATGATTTGACACTTATCTTTTTTTTTTGTCCCAAAAAATTTACAGTACATACTACTCCTCACCGAGAAACAAAACAGAAACGATGTGAGGGGGCCCAAAAGTGTGACCTCACATTCTTTCATGCAGACATTAACCAATCAGAGGTGGAGGACAGTTTCCAGCTGGCTTCTGATTGGATTAAATCTGCACGAAAGAATGTAAGGTCACACTTTTGGGCTCCTTGCTGTAAAAGTTCTAACTTACCCTAAGGAACGCGGAACGTGAAAGTTTTGCTTTGTTGTTTCTTGGTTTCATCTCACGATGAGCTTTGACAATAAGCTTTTTCTTTTCGCGGATTCTAAAGTAAAGAGAAAATTGCGCTCAGAAAGCTTTAACCAAGACAAGTAAATTCAGAGACTCGCTAATATATAATTAAACATATAACTCACTGTTCAGCTTTATTTCTTATATCCTCTTCCTCAGAGTCCAATTCCTCCTGTAAAACGAGACAAATACCATAAAAAAACCTCAAAAACCATTATCAATAATTCGAGAAGTGACCAGTAACCGCGATAGAGGAAAGTCAGGCGACACACGAGAGAGCATTTAACCCTATGCATACAGGGATGTTGTTTTTGCTCCCTGCGCCCGGGGGGAACTCTAGAGACCAGCTTCTATAACTTCAAAACCGCACATGCTCAGGCCACCAAAATTACACAGTAAAAACACTAAGGAAATCTTGGTAAGAACCTTACTAACAATTACTACAAGAACCTTAAAAAGAAAAATAGTAAGAATTTCTACGGGAATCTTAATACAAATGTAAGAATATTGGTAAGATTTACTACAAAAATCTTGGCAAGAATCTTGGTAAGATTTACTAAAGGTACCTTGGCAAAAATATTGGTAAGAACTACTATGGCTTTCTTGGCTAGAATCTTGGTAAGAATTACCACAGGGAATCTTGGCAAGAATTACCACAGGGAATCTTGGTAAGAATTAACACGTGAATCTTGGCAAGAATCTTGGTAGGAATTACAGCGGTAATCTTGGCAAGAATCCCCGCAAGAACTGCCACAGGAATCTTGGCAAGAATCACGATGGGTATCTCGGTAAGAGTCTTGGTAAGATTTACTATAGGTATCTTGGCAAGAATCTTGGTAAGAATTACTATGGGTATGTTATCTTTGGAAGAATCTTGGCAAGAATTCCTACGGGAATCGTGGGAAGAATATTGGCAAGAATTACCACGTGAATCTTGGCAAGAATCTTGGTAGGAATTACTACGGTAATCTTGGCAAGAATCTCCGCAAGAATTGCCACAGGAATCTTGGCAAGAGTCTTGGCAAGAATTACTATGGGTATCTTGGCAAGACTCTTGGTAAGATTTACTGAAGGTATCTTGGCGAGAATCTTGGTAGGAATTACTAAGGGTATGTTGGCAAGAATCTTGGTAAGAATTACTATGGGTATCACGGCAAGAATCTTGGCAAGAATTACGACGGGAATCGTGGCAAGAATCTTGGCAAGAATTACCACGTGAATCTTGGCAAGAATCTTGGTAGGAATTACTACGGTAATCTTGGCAAGAATTTCCACGGGAATCTTGGCAAGAATCTTGGCAGGAATTACTACGGTAATCTTGGCAAGAATCTTGCTAAGAATTACTATGGGTATCTTGGCAAGAATCTTGGTAAGAATTACTACGGTAATCTTGGCAAGAATTTCCACGGGAATCTTGCCAGGAATTACTACGGTAATCTTGGCAAGAATCTTGGTAAGAATTACTATGGGAATCTTGGCAAGAATCTTGGTAAGATTTACTATAGGTATCTTGGCAAGAATCTTGGTAAGAATTACTATGGGTACCTTGGTAAAAATCTTGGTAAGATTTACCATAGGAATCTTGGCAAGAATATTAGTAAGAATTGCTATAAGTATCTTGCAGCGTGCAAAGAAAGTGGTGTCCGATAGCCCGAGGGTAGTGGATTTTGCTGTCGGGCTAGAGAATTCTGTTATTAAATTGCCCGATGGGCAAGTGAATTTTTTGGGCGGAAATTCAAATTACAGAAGAACTGTAATCAATCCTGCTTCACAAATTTTGGGGGGGCTAGTTGAAATGACTTTCCGGCTAGTACATGCTAGCTACAGCTTGCCCGAATGGCAGGCTGTAAAACTGACTTTCTTTGCCCCCTGTCTTGGCTAGAATCTTGGCAAGAATTACCATGGGAATCTTGGCAAGATTAACTACGCGAATATTGGTACGAATTACTACAAAAATCTTGGCAAGAATCCTGGCAAGAATTACTATAGGTATCTTGGCAAGAATCCTCGTAAGAAGTACAATGGGTATCTTGGCAAGAATCTTGGCAAGAATTACAACGGAAATCTTGACAAAAGTGTTGGTAAGAATAAGTATAAGTATCTTGGCAAAAATCTTGGTAAGATTTACTATAGTTATGGCAAGACTCTGGGTAAAAATTACTATGGGTATCTTGGCAAGAATCTTCGTACGAATTACTATGGGTATCTTGGTAAGAATCTTGGGAAGATTTATTATCGGTACTCTGGTAAGAATCTTGGTAAGATTTACCATGAGTATCTTGGCAAGAATCTTGGTAAAATTTACTATAGGTATATTGGCAAGAATCTTGGTAAGAATTACTATGGGTATCTTGGCAAGAATCTTGGCAAGAATTACCACGGGAATCTTGGAAAGAATCTTGGTAAGAATTACTATGGGTGTCTTGGAAAGAATCTTGGTAAGAATTATTACAGGAATCTTGAGAAGAATCTTGGTAAGAACCACCGAGAGGATCTTGGCTAGAATCTCGGCAAGAAGTACTATGGGTATGTTGGCAAGAATCTTGGTAAGATATACTATAGGTATCTCGGCAAGATTCTTTGTAATAATTACTATGGGTATGTTGGCAACAATCTTGGTAAGAATTAGTATGGGTATCTTGGCAAGAATCACTACTGGAATCTTGGCAAAAATTACCACAGGAATCTTGGCACGAATTACCACGGGAAGCTTATGGTGGTAAGAATTACTACGGGAATCTTGGCAAAAATCTAGGAACGATTACTATAAGTATCTTAGGAAAAATCTTGGTAAGATTAACCATGGGTATCATGGCAAGAATATTGGTAAGATTTACTATAGGTGTCTTGGCAAGAATCTTGGTACGGCAAGAATTACCACAGGAATCTTGGCAAGAATTACCACGGGAATCTTGGCACGAATCTTGGTAAGAATTACTATGGGTATCATGGCAAGAATCTTGGCAAGAATTACTACGGGAATCGTGGCAAGAATCTTGGCAAGAATTACCACGTGAATCTTGGCAAGAATCTTGGCAGGAATTACTACGGTAATCTTGGCAAGAATTTCCACGGGAATCTTGGCAGGAATCTTGGCAGGAATTACTACGGTAATCTTGGCAAGAATCTTGGTAAGAATTACTATGGGTATCTTGGCAACAATCTTGGTAAGAATTACTACGGTAATCTTGGCAAGAATTTCCACGGGAATCTTGGGAAGAATCTTGCAGGAATTACTACGGTAATCTTGACAAGAATCTTGGTAAGAATTACTATGGGAATCTTGGCAAGAATCTTCGTAAGATTTACGATAAGTATCTTGGCAAGAATCTTGGTAAGAATTACTATGGGTACCTTGGTAAAAATCTTTGTAAGATTTACTATCGGTACCTTGGTAAGAATCTTGGTAAGATTTACCATAGGTATATTGGCAAGAATATTGGTAAGAATTGCTATAAGTATCTTGCAGCGTGCAAAGAAAGTGGTGTCCGATAGCTCGGGGCTAGAGGATTTTGCTGTCGGGCTAGAGAATTCTGTTATTAAATTGCCCGATGGGCAAGTGAATTTTTTGGGCGGAAATTCAAATTACAGAAGAACTGTAATCAATCCTGCTTCACAAATTTTGGGGGGGCTAGTTGTGGTTTCATCTCACGATGAGCTTTGACAATAAGCTTTTTCTTTTCGCGGATTCTAAAGTAAAGAGAAAATTGCGCTCAGAAAGCTTTAACCAAGACAAGTAAATTCAGAGACTCGCTAATATATAATTAAACATATAACTCACTGTTCAGCTTTATTTCTTATATCCTCTTCCTCAGAGTCCAATTCCTCCTGTAAAACGAGACAAATACCATAAAAAAACCTCAAAAACCATTATCAATAATTCGAGAAGTGACCAGTAACCGCGATAGAGGAAAGTCAGGCGACACACGAGAGAGCATTTAACCCTATGCATACAGGGATGTTGTTTTTGCTCCCTGCGCCCGGGGGGAACTCTAGAGACCAGCTTCTATAACTTCAAAACCGCACATGCTCAGGCCACCAAAATTACACAGTAAAAACACTAAGGAAATCTTGGTAAGAACCTTACTAACAATTACTACAAGAACCTTAAAAAGAAAAATAGTAAGAATTTCTACGGGAATCTTAATACAAATGTAAGAATATTGGTAAGATTTACTACAAAAATCTTGGCAAGAATCTTGGTAAGATTTACTAAAGGTACCTTGGCAAAAATATTGGTAAGAACTACTATGGCTTTCTTGGCTAGAATCTTGGTAAGAATTACCACAGGGAATCTTGGCAAGAATTACCACAGGGAATCTTGGTAAGAATTAACACGTGAATCTTGGCAAGAATCTTGGTAGGAATTACAGCGGTAATCTTGGCAAGAATCCCCGCAAGAACTGCCACAGGAATCTTGGCAAGAATCACGATGGGTATCTCGGTAAGAGTCTTGGTAAGATTTACTATAGGTATCTTGGCAAGAATCTTGGTAAGAATTACTATGGGTATGTTATCTTTGGAAGAATCTTGGCAAGAATTCCTACGGGAATCGTGGGAAGAATATTGGCAAGAATTACCACGTGAATCTTGGCAAGAATCTTGGTAGGAATTACTACGGTAATCTTGGCAAGAATCTCCGCAAGAATTGCCACAGGAATCTTGGCAAGAGTCTTGGCAAGAATTACTATGGGTATCTTGGCAAGACTCTTGGTAAGATTTACTGAAGGTATCTTGGCGAGAATCTTGGTAGGAATTACTAAGGGTATGTTGGCAAGAATCTTGGTAAGAATTACTATGGGTATCACGGCAAGAATCTTGGCAAGAATTACGACGGGAATCGTGGCAAGAATCTTGGCAAGAATTACCACGTGAATCTTGGCAAGAATCTTGGTAGGAATTACTACGGTAATCTTGGCAAGAATTTCCACGGGAATCTTGGCAAGAATCTTGGCAGGAATTACTACGGTAATCTTGGCAAGAATCTTGCTAAGAATTACTATGGGTATCTTGGCAAGAATCTTGGTAAGAATTACTACGGTAATCTTGGCAAGAATTTCCACGGGAATCTTGCCAGGAATTACTACGGTAATCTTGGCAAGAATCTTGGTAAGAATTACTATGGGAATCTTGGCAAGAATCTTGGTAAGATTTACTATAGGTATCTTGGCAAGAATCTTGGTAAGAATTACTATGGGTACCTTGGTAAAAATCTTGGTAAGATTTACCATAGGAATCTTGGCAAGAATATTAGTAAGAATTGCTATAAGTATCTTGCAGCGTGCAAAGAAAGTGGTGTCCGATAGCCCGAGGGTAGTGGATTTTGCTGTCGGGCTAGAGAATTCTGTTATTAAATTGCCCGATGGGCAAGTGAATTTTTTGGGCGGAAATTCAAATTACAGAAGAACTGTAATCAATCCTGCTTCACAAATTTTGGGGGGGCTAGTTGAAATGACTTTCCGGCTAGTACATGCTAGCTACAGCTTGCCCGAATGGCAGGCTGTAAAACTGACTTTCTTTGCCCCCTGTCTTGGCTAGAATCTTGGCAAGAATTACCATGGGAATCTTGGCAAGATTAACTACGCGAATATTGGTACGAATTACTACAAAAATCTTGGCAAGAATCCTGGCAAGAATTACTATAGGTATCTTGGCAAGAATCCTCGTAAGAAGTACAATGGGTATCTTGGCAAGAATCTTGGCAAGAATTACAACGGAAATCTTGACAAAAGTGTTGGTAAGAATAAGTATAAGTATCTTGGCAAAAATCTTGGTAAGATTTACTATAGTTATGGCAAGACTCTGGGTAAAAATTACTATGGGTATCTTGGCAAGAATCTTCGTACGAATTACTATGGGTATCTTGGTAAGAATCTTGGGAAGATTTATTATCGGTACTCTGGTAAGAATCTTGGTAAGATTTACCATGAGTATCTTGGCAAGAATCTTGGTAAAATTTACTATAGGTATATTGGCAAGAATCTTGGTAAGAATTACTATGGGTATCTTGGCAAGAATCTTGGCAAGAATTACCACGGGAATCTTGGAAAGAATCTTGGTAAGAATTACTATGGGTGTCTTGGAAAGAATCTTGGTAAGAATTATTACAGGAATCTTGAGAAGAATCTTGGTAAGAACCACCGAGAGGATCTTGGCTAGAATCTCGGCAAGAAGTACTATGGGTATGTTGGCAAGAATCTTGGTAAGATATACTATAGGTATCTCGGCAAGATTCTTTGTAATAATTACTATGGGTATGTTGGCAACAATCTTGGTAAGAATTAGTATGGGTATCTTGGCAAGAATCACTACTGGAATCTTGGCAAAAATTACCACAGGAATCTTGGCACGAATTACCACGGGAAGCTTATGGTGGTAAGAATTACTACGGGAATCTTGGCAAAAATCTAGGAACGATTACTATAAGTATCTTAGGAAAAATCTTGGTAAGATTAACCATGGGTATCATGGCAAGAATATTGGTAAGATTTACTATAGGTGTCTTGGCAAGAATCTTGGTACGGCAAGAATTACCACAGGAATCTTGGCAAGAATTACCACGGGAATCTTGGCACGAATCTTGGTAAGAATTACTATGGGTATCATGGCAAGAATCTTGGCAAGAATTACTACGGGAATCGTGGCAAGAATCTTGGCAAGAATTACCACGTGAATCTTGGCAAGAATCTTGGCAGGAATTACTACGGTAATCTTGGCAAGAATTTCCACGGGAATCTTGGCAGGAATCTTGGCAGGAATTACTACGGTAATCTTGGCAAGAATCTTGGTAAGAATTACTATGGGTATCTTGGCAACAATCTTGGTAAGAATTACTACGGTAATCTTGGCAAGAATTTCCACGGGAATCTTGGGAAGAATCTTGCAGGAATTACTACGGTAATCTTGACAAGAATCTTGGTAAGAATTACTATGGGAATCTTGGCAAGAATCTTCGTAAGATTTACGATAAGTATCTTGGCAAGAATCTTGGTAAGAATTACTATGGGTACCTTGGTAAAAATCTTTGTAAGATTTACTATCGGTACCTTGGTAAGAATCTTGGTAAGATTTACCATAGGTATATTGGCAAGAATATTGGTAAGAATTGCTATAAGTATCTTGCAGCGTGCAAAGAAAGTGGTGTCCGATAGCTCGGGGCTAGAGGATTTTGCTGTCGGGCTAGAGAATTCTGTTATTAAATTGCCCGATGGGCAAGTGAATTTTTTGGGCGGAAATTCAAATTACAGAAGAACTGTAATCAATCCTGCTTCACAAATTTTGGGGGGGCTAGTTGAAATGACTTTCCGGCTAGTACATGCTAGCTACAGCTTGCCCGAATGGCACGCTGTAAAACTGGCTTTCTTTGCCCCCTGTCTTGGCTAGAATCTTGGCAAGAATCACCACGGGGAATCTTGGCAAGAATTACCACGGTAATCTTGGCAAGATTAACTACGCGAATCTTGGTACGAATTACTACAAAAATCTTGGCAAGAATCTTGGCAAGAATTACTATAGGTATCTTGGCAAGAATCCTCGTAAGAAGTACAATGGGTATCTTGGCTAGAATCTTGGCAAGAATTACAACGGAAATCTTGACAAAAGTGTTGGTAAGAATAACTATAAGTATCTTGGCAAAAATCTTGGTAAGATTTACTATAGTTATGGCAAGACTCTGGGTAAAAATTACTATGGGTATCTTGGCAAGAATCTTCGTACGAATTACTATGGGTATCTTGGTAAGAATCTTGGGAAGATTTATTATTGGTACTCTGGTAAGAATCTTGGCAAGATTTACCATGAGTATCTTGGCAAGAATCTTGGTAAGATTTACTATAGGTATCTTGGCAAGAATCTTGGTAAGAATTACTATGGGTACCTTGGTAAAAATCTTGGTAAGATTTACTATCGGTACCTTGGTAAGAATCTTGGTAAGATTTACCATAGGTATCTTGGCAAGAATATTGGTAAGAATTGCTATAAGTATCTTGCAGCGTGCCAAGAAAGTGGGTATCTTGGCAAGAATCTTGGTAAGAATTACTATGGGTGTCTTGGAAAGAATCTTGGTAAGAATTATTACAGGAATCTTGAGAAGAATCTTGGTAAGAACTACCGCGAGGATCTTGGCTAGAATCTCGGCAAGAAGTACTATGGGTATGTTGGCAAGAATCGTGGTAAGATATACTATAGGTATCTCGGCAAGATTCTTGGTAAGAATTACTATGGGTATGTTGGCAACAATCTTGGTAAGAATTAGTATGGGTATCTTGGCAAGAATCACTACTGGAATCTTGGGAAGAATTACCACAGGAACCTTGGCACTAATTACCACGGGAATCTTATCGTGGTAAGAATTACTACGTGAATCTTGGCAAAAATCTTGGAAAGATTACTATAAGTATCTTGGCAAGAATCTTGGTAAGAATTACTATGGGTATCTTGGCAAAAATCTTGGGAAGAATCATCACGGGAATCTAATTTACCATAATCTTTACTAAGACTTACCATGGATATCTTGGCAAGAATCTTCCCAAGAATTAAAACGGGAATCTTGGCAAGAATCTTGGTAAGAGTTTTTATAGGTATCTTGGCAAGAATCTTAGTAAGATTTACTATAAGTATCTTGGCAAGAGTCTTGGTAAGAATTACCACGGTAAATCTTGGCAAGAATTTGAACGGGAATCTTGGCAAAAATCTTCGTAAGAATTACTCTGGGTATCTTGGCAAGAATCTTGGCAAGAATCTCCACGGGAATCTTGGCAAGAATCTTGGATAGAATTACCGCGAGAATCTTCGAAAGAATCTTGGTAAGAATTATTACAGGAATCTTAGCAAGAATCTTGGTAAGAATTACCGCGAGGATCTTGGCTAGAATCTCAGCAAGAATTGCCACAGGAATCTTGGCAAGAATTACTATGTGTATCACGGCAAGAATCTTGGTAAGAATTACTATGGGTATGTTGGCAAGAATCTTGGTAATAATTACTTTGGGTATCTTGGCAAGAATTACCACGGGAATCTTGGCAAGAATCTTGGCAAGAATTACCACCGAAATTTTGGCAAGATTTAGTACGGGAATTTTTGGTAAGAATTACTACGGGAATATTTGCAGGAATCTCCACGGGAATCTTGGCAAGAATCTTGGTAATATTTACCGCGGGAATCTTGGAAAGAATCTTAGTAGGAATTACTCTGGGTATCTTGGCAAGAATCTTGGCAAGAATTACCACAGGAAATCTTGGCAAGAATCTTGGCGAGAATTACCACGGGAATCTTGGCAAGAATTACCACAGGAATCTTAAAAAGAATCTTGGTAAGAATTACTGCAGGAATCTTGGCAAGAACCTTGGTAAGAATTACCGCGAAGATCTTGGAAAGAATCTCGGCAAGAATTGCCATAGGGATCTTAAGAAGAATCTTGGAAAGAATTACTTCGGGTATGAACCGTTCTTAGGATCATTCTAAATGATATCAATAGAACCGTTCTTAGAACCATTCTTAATGATACCCATAGAACCGTTTTTAGAACCCTTCTTAATAGTGCCCTTAGATTATTACCATAATCTTTACTAAGACTTACCATGGGTATCTTGGCAAGAATCTTGGCAAGAATTAAAACGGGAATCTTGGCAAGAATCTTGGTAAGAGTTTTTACAGGTATCTTGGCAGGAATCTTAGTAAGATTTACTATAGGTATCTTGGAAAGAACCTTGGTAAGAGTTACCACGGGAAATCTTGACAAGAATTTGAACGGGAATCTTGGCAAGAATCTTGGTAAGATTTACTATCGGTATCTTTGCAAAAATCTTCGTAAGAATTACTCTGGGTATCTTGGCAAGAATCTTGGCAAGAATCTCCACGGGAATCTTGGCAAGAATCTTGGATAGAATTACCGCGAGAATCTTGGAAAGAATCTTGGTAAGAATTATTACAAGAATCTTGGCAAGAATCTTGGTAAGAATTACCGCGAGGATCTTGGCTAGAATCTCAGCAAGAATTGCGACAGGAATCTTGGCAACAATTACTATGGGTATCACGGCAAGAATCTTGGTAAGAATTACTATGGGTATGTTGGCAAGAATCTTGGTAATAATCACTATGGGTATCTTGGCAAGAATCTTCGTAAGAATTACTATGGGTATCTTGGCAAGAATCATGGCAAGAACCACTACGGGAATCTTTGCAAGAATTACCACAGGAATCTTGGCAAGAAACTTGGCAAGAATTACCACGGGAATCTTGGCAAGAATTACCACAGGAATCTTGGCAAGAATTTTGGTAAGAATTACCACAGGAGTCTTGGCAAGAATCTTGGGAAGAATTACTACGAGAATCTTGGCAAGAATCTTGGTAAGAATTACCACTGAATCTTCGTAAGAATTACCACAGGAATCTTGGCAAGAATCTTGGTAAGAATTACCACAGGAGTCTTGGCAAGAATCTTGGGAAGAATTACTACGAATTCTTGGCAAGAATCTTGGTAAGAATTACCGCGGGGATCTTGGCACGAATTGCCACAGGAATGTTGGGAAGAATCTTGGTAAGAATTACTATAGGTATCTTGTCAAGAATCTTGCTAAGAAGTACAATGGGTATCTTGCCAAGAATCTTAGCAAGAATTACAACGGGAATCTTGGGAAAAATCTTGGTAAGAATTACTATAAGTATCTTTGCAAGGATCTTGGTACGATTTACTATACGTATCTTGGCAATCTTGGTAAGAATTACCACAGGAATCTTGGCAAGAATCTTGGTAAGAATTACAATGGGTATCTTGGCAAGAATCTTGGCAAGAATTACCACCGGAATCTTGGCAAGAATCTTGGTAAGAATTACAATGGGTATCTTGGCAAGAATTACCACGGGTATCTTGGCAAGATTAACTAAGGGAATATTGGTAACAATTACTACGGGAGTCTTTGCAAGAATCTCCTCGGGAGTCTTGGCAACAATCTTGGTAAGAATTACCGCAGGGATCTTGGCAAGAATCTCGGCAAGAATTGCTGAGGAATCTTGGCAACAATTACTACGGGTATCTCAGCAAGAATCTTGGTAAGATTTGCTATAGGTATCTTGGCAAGAATCGTGGTAAGAATTACTATGGGTATGTTGGCAATAATCTTGGTAAGAATTACTCTGGGTATCTTGGCAAGAATCTTGGCAAGAATTACCACCAGAATCTTGTCAAGAATCTTGGGAAGAATTGCAACACGGGAATTTTGGCAAGACTCTTGGCAAGAATTACCACAGGAATGTTGGCAACAATCTTGGCAAGAATCTTGGTACGAATTATTACAGGAATGTTGGCAAGAATCTTGGTAAGAATTACCACAGGAATCTTGGCAAGATTTATTACAGGCCAACATTAACACTTACTTCTTACTTGGGGCAAAATGTCGGCTTAAGGGAGGGTCAGGTGGGCAAAATGATGATAATGATCCAAAAATTACTACGACACTCTCTTACTGGTTCAGAGTCATAAAGCCCTGCAGCCTCACGCAGTTCCTCTTCTTTCTCTAGCTCTTCTAATTTCTGTAACGAAAGAAATTCAAATATTTATTTTTGTGATAACAAAAAGGTACCAGATCCACCTAGCGGTAAGGCGCCTGAAGAATCGGACACTGAACTAGCAAATTTTGGTCAGCTAATGTCCAATAACAGACTGTTATTTGGAGCCCCGTAAGCGCAAAAGCATTGAAATGAAAACGAGCTTTGTTATCATGCAAATAAAACTTGTTTTCACAAGAAAGGTTTTGCATTTAGCCTCATTTTGAAAGTGAGACTTTTTGGAACTTGGAAATGGCCTTCATTTGTATTACCAAGTGTATTGATTGATTGATCAATTGACTGATTTTTTATAAACACATCTAATCGATTATTAAATAATTAATTCAGTTATTGTAGTGACATATACAAATCTCAGATGAGGCAGATTCAAAAAGGACACAAAGTCCCCTTTGTGTTTAGGGCTCCTCTCTTGGTTTGACCTGTTACTTTTCACATATTGAAACTTTAACACTACAACTCCAAGTTGAAACCTCACCTTCATAATATCTGGATCAATGAAGTCAGCCACATTCTTTCCAAGGTAAATCTCTGGTAAAATATCATGATTCTCATCACCTTTTGCCAGATCCCAATGCTCCCGCATATCCATGTAGTAATCTTCTCCCATCTCAATCTCCAGATCTCTGGCCAGTTTGCGCTTGGGCTGGGCTCCTTCAACAACCATAGCCTGCCTTTTGTCCAATACAGCCTGTATATGAAGTAGCAAAAATAAATTTTGAATCAATATTATAAGACAATCTAAACTCTCTCTGTGGACATAATTTCTTGCAATGTGACACAGTGTAGATCTAATAAATACATGTATTACAATCACCTTGACAGAATGGTTATTAACAGTAATATTTAAAACAAATGAAGAATGATCCTTGCAGTTGTGAACGCAATTTATGCAATTGTGTAAGAAGCCTGAAAAAGATTCATGACTTCCATGAAATTTGAACCCATGACCTTGCAATACCAGTGCGACACTCTAACCAACTAAGCTACAATGTATGAAAATCATAAATCACAAGTGCAACGATCATTTTTCATTTTTTTAATGTCATTTCCACAGTTCTCAGATATGATTTATTTCATGCACATTTGTCAGTAATAATTAAACCATCATAAGGCACTATAAAGCAGGGTGCAAAGAAAGTCAGTTTTACAGCCTGCCATTCGGGAAAAGTATAGCTACAGGCGTAGCATAATAACTTAATAACTTCTTCTGTAATTTGAATTCCCTGAAAAACTTCACTTGCCCGTTAGGCAAGTTAAGAACAGAATTCAATAGCCTGATAGAAAAACCCACTTCACCCTGGGCTTTCTTTATACGCTTTTTTATTTGGTTCTCTTTGTTTATCTTTAAGCTCTCAAAAAGGAACAGTGCAAAGAAAAATCTGATGTGTTCACACTCTATTTATACAGAACTCAATGTTTGTGCATGGTTGGTGCTGTTTATGCCAATAAAACAAACAGTCATCTAGTGTGGTATTTTTTTCTACATTACTGCGGTTTTCAAAAACACGTGAACTCCGAAGTTCAAAAGCCAACTAACGTTTGTGTTTTTTCCCTGCCGTCAATCATCTTAGCGGACCTCTCAGGAAACAGAACTTTACTTAAATGGGTTCAAAAGGTCATGGCTTGTGATCTGTGATTAGTGGATTTCGATCCGTTTTGTGTGTTTCTGTTTTCAAGGTTTATTGCTTGTGATGGTAAAAGTGTAATTATGATTGAGGGCAGCAAAAAACGCAATTGTGAAGGCGGCTTTTGAACTAAAAAGCTTGCATATTTTGTGAAAAGCGCAGTAACGGAGTCTATACTAAGCAGCACAAACTTCCACGAGAGTTCATGTATCTCTTGTACAACCAGTGTTAACCTACTAAGACAATTTTCTTGTATGATCAAAGCCCTAACTCTCACTATTTCTTTATTAAATTACACATTGATTCCTTGGAAAGAAAGTCGATACTGATCACCGCAGGCTTTAGGGATTGACTACAGTTCTTTTATAAGATGTTCGGGATAGTGCAGCATTACCTGAGGAATGCAGGGTGGTCTCTCTTTCTGATCTCTCTGTGTTGGCATGGCAACATGAAGTCTGTTCATGACATCTGATGTTTTTTTGCTCTTCATCTTTATTTCAACTCTCTGAGCTAGCAGCTGATCACAAGCCTCATTTCTGACAGTCATCACGCCTTCTTCACTAACTGTACTCATTGGAAGAAGGGTAACACCTACAGAAACAGCCAGGAGTTTATCTCTATGTTCTTTCTTTGTTCATACACAGAAAAAATTCCAATAATGTACAAACATACACNCAAAAGGTCATGGCTTGTGATCTGTGATTAGTGGATTTCGATCCGTTTTGTGTGTTTCTGTTTTCAAGGTTTATTGCTTGTGATGGTAAAAGTGTAATTATGATTGAGGGCAGCAAAAAACGCAATTGTGAAGGCGGCTTTTGAACTAAAAAGCTTGCATATTTTGTGAAAAGCGCAGTAACGGAGTCTATACTAAGCAGCACAAACTTCCACGAGAGTTCATGTATCTCTTGTACAACCAGTGTTAACCTACTAAGACAATTTTCTTGTATGATCAAAGCCCTAACTCTCACTATTTCTTTATTAAATTACACATTGATTCCTTGGAAAGAAAGTCGATACTGATCACCGCAGGCTTTAGGGATTGACTACAGTTCTTTTATAAGATGTTCGGGATAGTGCAGCATTACCTGAGGAATGCAGGGTGGTCTCTCTTTCTGATCTCTCTGTGTTGGCATGGCAACATGAAGTCTGTTCATGACATCTGATGTTTTTTTGCTCTTCATCTTTATTTCAACTCTCTGAGCTAGCAGCTGATCACAAGCCTCATTTCTGACAGTCATCACGCCTTCTTCACTAACTGTACTCATTGGAAGAAGGGTAACACCTACAGAAACAGCCAGGAGTTTATCTCTATGTTCTTTCTTTGTTCATACACAGAAAAAATTCCAATAATGTACAAACATACACTGCCTTAATATAGCAAGTTCTAATTATGGGGGAGACTTACCATGTTTACAAAAGCCAAGTAAACTTACAGTAATTTCTAAGTTAACGGTTTAGGATAATGATGAGGATGATGTAGCCTGTGAGCAAGCTCTCCTATTTGGGTGAGCCAAGTGAGCCACACAAGAACGCATGAGCGGCAAAGCAGCGAGAGGCCAAGGAAAGGAGAACTTGCAACAATCTCTCATAAATTTTTCATTTGTACGTGTACTTTGCCCAGATGAAGGGAAAAATGACATTCCAGATATCAAAGTTGATTGATAACAGGCCTAGCTCACGGGAAATGTATTATCACCAAAACCAGGGTTATGTCGTCGATCGCTGAACTCACTTTGAAAAAGAAGACTGGCAAAGGCAGAAAATCGCTTTCTCCTTCTGTAAAAGAGAACTTTCATCTGCGTGTCAAATTTGGATCTAAGGGGGATCACACTGGAACCTAGAACATGTTTCAGCCCTCAAAGCAGACGGGTTCATTGATGTAATTGTTGTACAGCTGTACGTGTGAAAGTGTTGCCAATAAAATGTTGCGAGCTGAGGATTATCAGAAAATCAGAACCCTTCATCAGTTGCATTTGTTTGTATCAAGTGCCTTGTTTAGTCCTGATTCAAGTACTGCCTTCCAACGTTCCTTTTTTTGCCTAATGAATTCCACTGGGCACAGAAAATTCAGAAACTGGTACATGACAGTGTAGCTGACGAAGAATTAGCAGCTGACTGTCAAGAAGGTCAATAGAAAGAGTAGGAAGCAACTGAGGAGTAAAACATAAGAGAACCAGGTCCAGGAAAATGCTCTTCTCCAGTTCCGAAACAGACAAAAATATACTATGTTTAAACAACTGGTGATTGCGACGGCGAGCTTAGTCTTCTGACTGTGGATGACCTTTCAAATGTAATTCTCAAACTCATTAATAATTCATAAAGAGAATTCAAAGGAAATTAATGTTTAATGAGTGTTTGGATATCCGATGAAAAACTGCTCATTTTTGCATCTTTAATTTCTCCTTCAAAAATGATTTTGTTTGAGAAGAAATATCAAACATTCGACACAGTGTTTCATCACCAGATGAAACAGCTCGAAGTTCGTCAAAAATACTCCGCTGCGCGTCGTATTTTCAACTCTCTTCTCGGTGTTTCATCTGGTGATGAAACACTGCATCTCATGTTTGATATATTACATGAAACGAGAATCAAAGTATTGAGTTCTTATCCGAGCGGACCATTGTAGTTTGATGTCCAGAGGATTAAAAAACACATCCGTGGTCAAAAACATTGCTTTGGTGCAGTGGAAAGCTGTTGAGAAAGGGATTTAAAAAATAAATAAATTCTATGTGCCCTCGGCTGTCTTAACGTGACTTTCTAATCTGCAGCATGTTTGCCGTGACAGTTTTAATGCTTTGGTGTGTCAGCGGTGGAAATGAAATTAATGAGTGATCGTTGCAAGCTCATCTTTCTGTCCCCCAGCGGCCACTTTCATGTCTCCGCTCAAGTGTCTACTTTTCATGATGTCCCACAAATGGAGAGCTTGCTCGCAGGCAAAGGATGATGATGATGATGATGACAGTGGTGGTAGTGATGATGATGGTGATGATGATGATAATGACGTCAATGATGATGATGACCATCATCATGATGATCACCAAGATAATGATTTTCATGATGATGATAATGATAATGAGATGATGATTAGAGCATTAAGGGTTTCCTAGGTCAAGTCTGGTAAAGTAGGTGGACTGTACTGCAGCATGGTGCAGTACTGCAATGTTATGAAGATCAAGCAGAATATTACCTTCTTGATCAAAAACTTTAATCAACTCTTTCTTCTCCTCAGAAAGCTCACCAGGTCTAAGAACATCAATTTTGTTTAAGATCACCAGCAAGGGTTTGTTTGCAAACAGAGGTCTAATGCCATTAAACAGCTCTATCTGTTCCTCAAGAGTGTGACCACACTGCTCTGAAATGTCCATCACGTAGAGAATTGCCGCTCGCAAGTGAGCAAGGGCAGTAATTGCCTAAAAAATTCAAGTAAATGTTTAGATCGTTCTTTTTAACTAAAATCCCAATGATTTGTAATAAAAAGTTTATATAACATTGACAAACTTTCTAACCTGCATTTCTATCGTGTTTCTTTCTTCTAATGAATGGTCGAGGATTCCTGGAGTGTCAACAACCTATGAATAATAAAAATACAACACATGCATACATGTACAGACTGGTAATATTGTATGACCAGCATACAAAATCAACTTACACACATGAAACCACAATGACTGTTAGTCAAAAGTTTAATTTCCCAATAAAGTACAGTGTAGTGCCAAATGTAATTTTCACCATTGAGAGACATGGGAACAACATTGAAACATCTCAGAAATTTTAAAATAAATCTTATGGCACACTTTAGAGACATGTGGGTAGTTGTGATCAATTTTTTTGGTTTTGCTTTTTTTTGAAATACTTTACATGGTAACTAACAGTTGTTCAATTCTATATAATTTTGGAATAACTGCAGATTATAATATATTACAGTATTAATTGCACTTATTTTTTGCATCCTTTTCAAGTTCTTAAAATTACCAGTAGCCTCTGTTTGGAATACTGTAGTTTTAAAAATATCAAGGTCTTCAATGTTACTTTTTCTTGAACCCTTTCCCCAGGGTTTCATGCTGCTGCATGTTAAGTAGGGGAACATGTTTCCACATATTTTTAGCCACTTTTCAAGGGCCCTTTTTAGTGGTTTTTGTTATTCGGTCAAGCACATTTTCTAACATAATTTATATAGCACTATTTATCATTATCATTGATGTAACTAGGATACATCAGATCACTGACTAAGTCATCCTAAATAAACTTTTCACTTTGAACATCTTATGTATGTGAGGCCAGAATTGTTAAAATTAATTTATTAAGGCCAGACAAATGTTGAACAGCAGCAATAAATAATGTTGTAATGTACCTTCACTGTAAATCAGTTTTTTAACATGTAGATACTCAAAGGGTATCCAAAGAGTTTTTGTGATAGGTTTTGATATGCAAATGTTCACTCGCTAACTTTGTGTTGACAGAGATTGGCTCTACTGTGCCAACCCGAGCTCACTGACCGATATGAAAACAACATAGTTTGTTGTTGCTGAAGGGTGCCTGAGTTGTACATTCACTCTCGCATACTTGAGAGAGAACCCTGGGGACAGGCTTGTCACTTTCACGTTTGCTACGAAAGCATGAACACTCGCTGTTGGTACAGGTTGTCTACTATACACTACAAGTATCTTAATCATAAGCAATGAGACAGTTTAAAATAATTTCCAGTAACAACAAAGGAAGAACTTTGCCAATAAATCATGCATTTAGTTGAGCAAGGTTCAACTTTTACATTAATGCATGGCCTTCCATACATTACCTCTTTTTTACTTTACGTGCCTAAAAGTTATGTTTGTACACTTACATACTGTACATGTACGCTTGTGAGTATTATGTGACAGTGGCAATCCACCCTAAGGGACCTTTTTTTATGTGACCCGCACATTCCAACACTTGTTTACTCAAACTTTGTAGTATCTCATAAATCTCTAAAAGTTCCCAGTAATCTTTTAGCTTTAAATGAATCACTTACAGCTGTACATGCACTCATAGCCAGTAACCTGCAGATGAGCTTATATATTGATCATGAAAATTTATCAAGGTGTGGAAATGTACAACCTGAACCTCCTATCAGTAGTTTTCATTATAAAATGAAGCACAAACGTGGTTGCTTCCCGAGCAGTTCACTTCTCTATTGGTAGTAGTACATGTAGCCTGCATAGCAGGTAGTTGTTTGGTTGTACTTTTTGTTTGTGTTGGAAATACAGTGGAGCGAAAGCTCTGAGGTCAAAGATGTGGATGGGGGCAAAAGGATTTTTCTAAACAATTATCCAGAGGTTGCCCATAGTTTTTACTTTTATTTTACTTTTGATTGGATCCGCCTCATATTGTATAACAACAAACATCATTTTTGTACTGTCGCAAAGTCAATTCTGACTGTACCAGCCTCACATTGCACAGTATCAAACATGAATTTTGTCCAGTACAAAATGCCACTTTTCAAGCCTCACATTGCACAGCTCAAAGAAAATATCACTTTGTACTTTTTTTGTTACCTCTGCATCCTGCATCCCTAATGCATGAAAATCCCCAAAGATGCAAAATAATTTATGGCATATGCATCCCGTAGGACTCAAATATTGATTGATTGATTTGGGGTTTCTGTAGAATATCCTGTTTGTGTGATTTCTGTGGCTGTTGTTAAATGACACTTACTTCTTTTAGTCTTTGCTGTGCTTTACAACAGAAGGAGTATATTTTTTATGTCAGTAAACTGTAATACAAAGTTTCGGAGTCTATCTTCAGATTAACTGTATAGTTAAAAAAGACCCCGGCACTCGTTGCTTTATGAATTGGGACTTAATGGTTCTGGACCAGGACTTGCGATTTTTCACAAGATGAATTCCAGGACTCACCATAACTATTTGTAACAAAATTACTGATTATCTAATGTTTGTGTTGGAGTAAGCACAAAAACATAGAACAATCGACGTTTAAACTTTGCAACCCAAATGTTTAAACTTATAAGCTTACATAAAAACAACACACACATAATTTGCAAACATGATGGTGAAGAAGCTAAAAGTTTGGGTGAATAATACGCTTAACAAATGTTTACACTGCACTGTTGTAATAAAATTCTACCGTATTTTCATAACTGAGTTAGTATTCACTTTCTTTGTTTTTAAGTACCAAAGCCACTTTGAATTTCCAAAGGGTGGTAAGCCAAGTCCCTGTTTAAAAATTCTGGAAATTCCTTGGGAGAGGGGGGTCATCAAAGAACCCCCTGGAATGGAAAATCCTGGGGGGTGGGGGGTGTGCAAATCAAAGAGTCTTCCGTTGGGGGGCATGGATATTTTCTGGAACCACACAATACCAGTAATAACACTGTGCAGAACCAATACCATTTGTAACAATTTTTCTACTGTACTCTACCTCATTTAGCATTGTACCAAATTTATATTGATTTTGCACTGTGACTGTATCATTTGGTACATTAACAAAATCAATTTTGTACTGTACCAACAACAATAGACTATCAGCCAGCTATCACCCTGTTTGGTAAAAAAGTGGGTTTCACAAAGGTACAGTAACAACATCATCTTTGTTCTGAAGTGCCAATGTAAACGTGTATTACCATTTCCTGTCAATTTTGTACAATACTAGTACTTGTTTGTACTGTACCAATATCAACAGACCATTATAACAACATCAGCTTGCATGTTGAAGCAGTATCATTTTGACAAATGTAAAAGCTGCAATTTTGATACCATACCAGTATCAATTTTGTGTGGTTCCTTGCNTGGAACCACACAATACCAGTAATAACACTGTGCAGAACCAATACTATTTGTAACAATTTTTCTACTGTACTCTACCTCATTTAGCATTGTACCAAATTTATACTGATTTTGCACTGTGACTGTATAATTTGGTACACTAACAAAATCAATTTTGTACTGTACCAACAACAATAGACTATCAGCCAGCTATCACCATGTTTGGTAAAAAAGTGGGTTTCACAAAGGTACAGTAACAACATCATCTTTGTTCTGAAGTGCCAATGTAAACGTGTATTACCATTTCCTGTCAATTTTGTACAATACTAGTACTAGTTTGTACTGTACCAATATCAACAGACCATTATAACAACATCAGCTTGCATGTTGAAGCAGTATCATTTTGACAAATGTAAAAGCTGCAATTTTGATACCATACCAGTATCAATTTTGTGTGGTTCCTTGCCAATGCAGCTAATACCAATTAAAAACTTTCCTTCACTAAATTGGACAGATGCCAATAATGACTTCAGATAGAAAATGTCATTTTCTTTTGGTGTATTATGCTGCATGAATTGTCAGAGGATTAGTAGAAAAACACAACATAAAACTACATGTAAAAAAGCTGGGCTGTGGCACATGTAAATGTACACAGTCAACATATACATGTGTTCAGGTAAAACTCTGGTCTGACCTGCCATCTGAGATACTTGTAATCCATGTGGCCGACAAACAGGGACTTGGTTGTAAAGGCGTATGGCTGGACTTCAACATCTGCTCTTGTCACCTTGAGAAAAAAAAAAATGTTTGTTACAATGCTATGGTTATAAACCTTAAAATAATAAATATTACTCTGTTAACTGCCTGAGGATCACCAAGTGATTGGAATTCACAATGCCTGGCTTTTACTTGTAGTACATTTAAGTACAAAGGTAACATTTGTTACACGTGGCCCAGTGCATGAAGTTTTCATTTTACCTTCCAACAATCTAACACCACTTTCCAAAAGTCAGGACTTGCCAGACAGATCATAAAGGTAATAAACCTTACAGAGTTTCCAGTGTGACCATCTCACACCATTCGTATCTTGTGAGAGCAATGCATACCTTATTCATAAAACTTGACTTGCCAACATTTGGAAACCCACACACCAGCAGGGTCCTTGTGTTAGGATTGATTGATGGAAGCCTGGCCACATGTTGCCGCACTACAAACATCAGTGAAAAAAGTTATAGCAAAATTCACCTATAGTACATGTATAACAAATGCACACGCGCTATGTACATATATTTGCTGATGGATATCTGTATATTAACCTAGAGCTGTGTGTGTTTGATTCATCATATTCCAGAAATAAGAATGTGCCTAAGTATTGCTGCAAATCCCTTCTATCATGTTTTTTGGACCTCTTGAAAGCTAGATACATGTACAGTGTACATGTTAATATTTTATTTTAACAGATTTCAAGATATTACATACTGAGTAATGCTAAAACAAGTGATTCCAANATGTATAACAAATGCACACGCGCTATGTACATATATTTGCTGATGGATATCTGTATATTAACCTAGAGCTGTGTGTGTTTGATTCATCATATTCCAGAAATAAGAATGTGCCTAAGTATTGCTGCAAATCCCTTCTATCATGTTTTTTGGACCTCTTGAAAGCTAGATACATGTACAGTGTACATGTTAATATTTTATTTTAACAGATTTCAAGATATTACATACTGAGTAATGCTAAAACAAGTGATTCCAAGAGTTAATTCCCTTTATTCTAATATTTGGTAGATGGTCTAACAAACACTCCCTACATACAAGAAAAACACAATATGATTGATCTAAATCTAATAACTTATCAATGACAGCAAAATGTTAGGTTAGGGGATGGCTACATGGGAAACTTCACTGAATCTTAGAATGGTCTGGCTACTGAAACAAACAGCCTTGTTTTTTTCCTTGAGGAGTTAAACAGCTAGATCAGTTAACAAGGCTGTCATTAAGTAAACAGGGCCAGGGATTTTCCCCAGCTACTATGAAGATGACCCATGGCTACTTTCATGGGAATGTAGAGGAAAAAGAGAACTAAAGAAATCTGTAGCTGTTTGATTCCCTACTATTTAACAATTAATGAATGAGGCTGAGTATCTTCTGAAGAATTATGGAGATCCAGGAGGGTGTATACGGCCTCTGAGATCTCCATAATTCTTCATATGATACGAAAGCCGAATTCAATAATTGTTTTATTATTCATTCAAAATAATTTCTAGTTTAAAAACATAGCTACAACAAGCTTACCTGCATCGATGTTAAGTTTATCTTTGATAGTTTACGATTAGGTTTGTCCACCTCCGTAAATATTCTCTAAATAGCAGATGTCGCCCTCCGAGTTGTCTTCTTGCTGTTTTTGCTATGTTTTTAGCCATTATTTTGCCTAGTTCCAGCTGTAGTTCTTACTCTTGAAACGAGTGAAGTGTCTGCCATTTTAGTTTTTACAACGAAAACAAATCAATCTTGTCCCCAGGTCTTCTCGGTTAACGGTTCATTAATGTGTAGAAGGGTGCATTTTGACTTCATTTCCTCGTTAAACACAAAATCCTTCCAAATTTGGTCATCAATAACTAGTTATGGTGAATTATGTGCATGCTTTTAGCCAATCAATATTGGGAAAATATTTTGAATGAATAATAATAAATTTTATCCAGCAACTTAAAGTCTTATTTTCACTGTACACTAGTGGTACTTTATAAGAGACGTAAAAAGTTTCATACCTTGTTCCAAGTATTGTAAACTCTGGTTTTGTCTTTTCATGATTGTACACATCCTATAATAAAGATTAAAAGAAGACTGTGTTTTAGTGCAATACAATGTATCATAAAACAATTATTTGATGGACACTTACAGTGTACCGATTATGCACAGATTATGTACAGAAGTACAGATTATCATAAGTCCAAATTATCTGGGGAAGGAGGCTAATGTTGGTAGAGTGCTTACCTTCCGAGAGCTGCTCTCTTCAGCTGTTTACATCTGTACAATGAGTCACCATACTTCATAAGCCTCACATAGTCTTTGGCAACACTGTTACAAAAAGAAACAAACACTACATTGCAGTGCAGTGATTATACATTTGTATCTTTTGAGAGATCTCAGAGGTGATATAAGCTCTATTTCTAATAGGTTACTATATATTACCCTTACCTGTCAATCAAATGTCTCGCTGTGTTTATTTGACCTAATGCCAGTTTGTAGTGGTCCTTGTCATACAATACATTCATTAGATCAGCATAGAACGGATGGATATCCTGAAAAGAGTAGGAGAGCAACTCATGATTAAAGAAATTACAGGTATAGCTATTTCATGATGTAGTCTTCTGAGAAGTAAATTGTAAAATAAATAAATATTAATTTGTATTTTCTTGTTTAGTTTTGCATGTATTTTTACACACATTTCACAAGTATATTTCTTGTGTAATTTGCATGCAATATGAGAGATTTACACTCAAGAAACACACATGTAATGCTGGAATTCCAGTGGCCTGCCCTGTCACTAGCTACAGTGTAATCTTCTCTAGGTGACAATGAAAGAGCTAACTTATTATTCTGTGATCCCTTATGCAAAAGCATGAGCAGGATACAGCTGTAAAAACTGATTTTTTTTTTCCTGAAAGTTACCAAGGGCTGACAAAACAAAAGAGCTTGCTTACAGGGTAACCATACCATGCCCATTCTCCCATGAGAAGAGATGTCAAATCTGATCCGTTTCCCAGATCATGCAAACCCAGTTTTCACTTGACCTTGATTTTGCGACATCCCTACTATCTGAGGGACTGGCACAGGCTAGCCAGCAAGAAGCATTTTTGAACATAGAAGAACAAAATTGATTTTCACATATGAAACATGTTGCTAACACATTGTATCCAGCTCCCAGGGTTCATACAGATTTTTGGATCTATAACTCAAGACTTTTTCGAGACTTTTTTCCAAAACAATAATTTCTTTTTCCAGACTTAAGGTCTTTAAAATGCAGGAACAAAGCTTTTTTCATGATGTGCTGTAAGTGTATGGACAAGATTGAATAAGATTTGACCAAAATGAAAAATATTTAATTTACATGCTGCCTTAAAAAAAAATTCGTCTTTTTACCATTTTTTCAGACTTCGTCTCCATTTTCAAGACTTTTTCCAGATCTGGAAAATTGCTGGGCAAATTTCAAGAATTTTTCAAGGGCTAAGGGCTCCCTAATTGGCTGCATTTTTCACAGCACAGGATACAGGGTTCGTACCCTTTTTTGAACAAAAAATTCCAGGGCGTTTCAAGGACTTTCAAGGACACATTTCCCATTTTCAAGGACTCCATATACTACAAAAAGAGCCTTGAGTATATCTCTTTTTTAGATCTTCTACAACAAGAGCAATCTTATTCTAAAGGTCTTTTTGTGTTTGCTCCTTTAAGGTACTTGACAGGGGCACCCAAACGTGAATATAGTTCAAAACCACTTAAACATAGCATTGTTAAACGTATGTTAGTATTTAAATGGTAGATGTAGGGATATTTTTATTCCCCAAAAAATTTTCATCTGTTCGGATAAACTAGTTGAAAGTCTATTGATCCGAAAATTATAAGGATCAAAACTTACCTTTTTCGCAAATTTCAGCCAGAAAAAAGGCTCCCGAAAGTTCAAGGTGATCTTTTTAGGGTAAAAATCTGTTAAAAATGGGCAATTATACCATTTTTTAGATGTTCGAAAATCCTAGGAGAGGCAGGCAAGCAAGAAATTTTACAACAAATGTTCCGAAAATGTTTCCGAACAGATATTTTCCGAAAATTGACGTTGGGCGCCCTTGACTTGAGAATCCAGGTTGGACAAAGTTAGCACCAAAACTCAAGGACCTTCCAGCACTGACTGCAATTTTCAAGGATTTTCAAGGCCTTGAATTTTTATTTTAAAATTCAATGACATTCAAGGACTTCTAAGGTGGTGTGAACCCTGGGAGTAAATGAAAAGATACCACAGAACCTAATCTTTATTACCTCTAGCCTTGGAAAATCACTGATAATTTGTGATAGTTTGTCATGGTAATTCTGCTGGGTAAATTTGATCTTTCGCATGTAAAAACCACGAATCCGGCTTATTTTGTAGTGTCTGGAAAAGACAAATGTGCACAGCATTCAGAATTAAAGCACCATGATCTGTAATGTGCTACAATGATACCATGAGCTTGGCCATGCAACCAACCTTCTCTCTACCTACTGGCTAGAATGTGTAAAACGCTAAATAAAGACTTGCTTACGGCACAATTAAAATATCATAATACGGACAACAAAAGGGGTAGAGTGGGGTGTCCAAGTAAGCCAAGAGCTTCATTCGATAGCATTAGAAAGCACATATGAAAACAAACCTAAATTGACTCGTCAGCTGGCTTCTACTGATATTTCACTGAACAGATTAGATTTTTCCTTGGGAATTATCCAGCTGACTATAGCAAAAATCACTTTTCTTTAAAAAACCGAACAAAATGCCTGTAAGCTGATTACTCTAAAACAAACCATTACGCATATATCCATACACGTCAACCTACCGATGAATAACAGTCGGTGTTTTCCTCTGCGTCCTCGACAGGACGATATCGACAAAGTCCTGGAGCAGGAGAAAAACATTTATCAGTAAGTTGGAAACTCGAAAAACTTAAAAGATTCTCATTCTGTCCTCACCTTTGCCGAAGGAACGACTGTAATTTTCTTGAAATTATAGTGCGCCATGTTGGAATTAGCGACACACGTGAAAGGAAAGAGTTTTCGTCAACGTTGCGCAATGCAGCCGCTGACCAAACTGCTGTGAAAGAATGCAGTAGGTCCGCATTAAGTGCGTAACAAGTGAGTAACCGTAAAAAAATTTAAAAATAAATTAAATTATCAACACATTGTAATATTGATTGAGACTTTTGTTTATTATAGTGCTTAACTCATACAATCTAAACAGTCAATAGATTTCAAACCAGAACCGAGCGCTTAAGCCACCTCCACGTCCCATTCCTGACGTTCTTGTAAGCTGGAAAATGACGGAATTTTATATATACTTTTTTAAAATTACAGAATCCTAGAATCCTAATAGCCGATGGATGAGTTTCTGACGACTTACAAAGTTATGATATCTTCTATTAAAGTATCATTTCTAAATAATGAGCGTCTGTGTGGGTATTTCCGATGAAATGGAAGTCGCGACGATCGCCACTAATGAAGCGGCGATCGCCTTGCCATTTAAATTAAGTTTGGCAAAATTAGTTGGGCAGTGACGTCCAAGAAACCCGCAAAAAATGTGCTGCACGATCTTGCTTATCTTCTCGTTTTCGTCGTCATTGTAGTTGGCTTATCCCGCTAGTAGCATTAACACGCAAAACAATATGGGCGACGATTTCGCCTGAAAGACCGACCATTTGATTTAAAAAGAGTGCGATGAATCAAAGCAAAACTGAACGCAAGGCTGGCAATACGGCAAAGGGATGATTTATTTGGGGCCAATATTTTATTCATTGGTAGCGTAGGATGGTTTGGTGAATAAGGCCCCTGTTTTCTATAGTCCACGTTCCACCAATAAGGGATTCTTGAGATTAGATTGAGCATTTGATCGTTGGCACTTTTCCGACATACTCGCATGCTCCTGCCTGACAACCTCGTCCCCAGGGCCCCCGCTGGACGAGTAAGAGAGAACCCTGTGGACAAGGTTGCTCAGGCAGTAATTCGCCACTTCCACATTTCCCATAATGCACCTTATTTGCCCTCAAAATTTTTAGTGCAGGTCTCTCCTAATTGGTCGCAGGAAACAATGACATGTCATTCTTCCAATTGTTTTAGTATTGTTTGCGGTCAGGGAAACGCATCATGGGTGGCTTCTCTTCCGAGCAGCTGCTACATTACCCAAAATTTTGCAATTTTGTATGTCATTTCTCCTGGGTATCAGTCCCAAGAGAAATTGAAAACAATGCTCATGCAAAATTTTGGGGGGGCAAATGAGGTGCATTGTGGGAAATGCGGAAGTGGCGTATCGGGCCGATGTGATGTCAAAAGAGGATAACGGGTGGGATACGTTTATGTTGTTGAGTACCTACCAGCTGTTTTACGGGTAAAGATGATTTAATTAGAAGGGGCAAAAACTCCATGTGAGTTAGAGTGAGTTTTTTAAAAAAGTATCATAAACCCCAATCTCAAAATCTTTTTGGACGTGGTTGGAAAATGTGAAAAATGCGGCGTGGAAGGCGAACAGTGCCAACTACAGGAGAGTACAAAGTAGGATTATGTCATAAGATTACAAGACTCATATCAAACCAACCTCGATTTATTGTAGAAGAGGCACATTTATTAAAAAATGTCACCGTAAGGAATAATCACAATACAGAAGCAACTCCACTAGATTTAACTTAATTTAGTCTTTATATTCTACTTATTATTTAAGCTCGTGTAGCCATTTTAGGGAGAAAGGTTTACTCCTTGATAAAATAAAAGTAACTGTCGCCTCATTTAAAGGTGATGTTACACGGGACGATTCGCAACGACGATTTTTAGAGCAACAAAGCGTTGCAATGTTGGAACAATGTTGTAACCATTCGAAACAATGTCCCAACAATGTTGCAACGCAGTGTTGCGCTAAAAATCGTCGTTGCCAATCGTCTCGTGTAACATAACCTTAAGGGGATCCGCATTCCGGAATCCGGAAAAATTTTGCTTGTAAAATCAAGAATCCGGAATACAGTTCAAGGATTCCGGAATCCCACTAACGATTGGAATCCGGTATCCAAATTCCAATGATGAAGGCTGGATTCCAGTACCTCAAATTCAGAATCTAGAGCGTGGAATCCAGAATCCAAGACTGTCCTAGATTTCCTTACATAGGACGATAACTGACATAGGCCATTTGTTTGACATTTTTATCCCTTTCTATCAACGGCATTTCTATAAAAGCGTCCTTTAGCGCGGCAGCATGGACGATCTGTCACAAAATTTCTTAAAGTTATTTTTCATTGTTAAAATTTTATTGACTCGATATTAGGAAGCTTGGAGAGTAAAGGGATCAACATCGCCGGTCCTCATATTTATTAGGTCCTTTAGATCAATTCAGGTGTCTGGGAAACAGACCACCTACCCCTCCCCTAAGTCAATATTAACACTTATTTCTCACTTAGGGCAAAATGTTAGGTCAGGGGAGGGGTAGGTGGGCAGTTTCCCAAAAACCTAAATTGATCGGTTCTTTTTGTTTCATTCACAGTACGACACAACAGCTTCTTTCACCTGCAAGACAGAAAAAAAGAAGTGTGACATATGAAGCAAACATTTCATTTTTCCACTTATCACTACAAACAATAATTTTGACATTGCTGTTGCCAGGAGTATACAGCAATCGTGTCAGATGAATCTGTGAATTCGAGATCGACTTGGGGGGAATTTCGTAACTCAGTAGTAGTCCAGGGCCTTGTACAAGTATCTTGAACGGACGTCATGGTTTTGAAAGCCATCAGGTATATTTATTTTTATCATTCAGTGTCCCAAGCTCTTCAATAAAGAGCCTTTGGGTCCAGATGAGTTGTCGTGTAACTAACTAAACAGCAGCTAAATATGTATTGTAACCGAAGTAGTATCAAGTTTTCCCTCGGTAATTGAGCACTGAGTTGGATAAAATTCCCTTGAGCTCTGCTAAAAGGTCTAAAAGAGGTCTTGGAGTAGAAGTCTTTCCATATAACTATAGTATTTATGATGTTCATGTTTAGAACCTGACTCTGCTGAAAGAAAAGATCTGGAGTGAGAGTAAAAATAGAGAGTGAAAATGAGAGACGCGCAAATGGGCGTGTGATGCCCACGAGCTTCGCGCAAAATATCAAGCCGGCACTTTGCTCAAGGAAAAACCAAAAAACTTGACCTTTTGTAGTCTAGCTTGACTCTGGCCTAATAGTCCCCACGAGTAGTTTTTTTTTCTTTTATGTCAATAGATGAGCCTTTTGGAAAAAATGCGGTGAGATTTCGTCACTCACCTCCTCCTTGATTTGATGCGGGCTTTACATTTTCGGGAAACTGTCCTCGGACGTTCCCTGGGGGTTGATAACGCGCAACAACGAACTGTGCCCCCGAGGAACTAACAGCCTTCCCAGCACCCATTTCCTTTGAACTCTGCCATACGATCTGTGTAAAGTGTCCGGTGTTGGTAGAGAACCCGGGATTTCCGTATCGGTACTTGTCGTGTTCTTCGTACCACATGTCTGTCACTTTTCTCCCGGTAAGTGAACCTCCTGTGTATAGAAACCACGTGTAATTGTGATATTATGAAAAGCACAATAAGTAAATAAATAGTTAAAAGCCCTCTTACGCGACGATACGAAGGTAAAAAATATCTCATAACACTGACAAGATGGTCGCGGGTATTTAACAAGAACTGTTCTAGAGACGTAACATTAACTGCACGAGTGTTGCTTTTGTTTGGGCCGAAAGAATATTAACGTGATCATGAAGTGGCGGTATAAACTTAGTGGGTGTAAGGCGTGGTTCACTAAATGTCATACGGCCCCATAGGAAAGGCTTCTCTGTATACAATGAATGGTCGAGCTATGAGTGTAGAGGCCATGAAGCTATATACTGAAGACATATGAGAAATGTTGCGGAGGACAATCTTTCAGCCAAAACGACGTAGCCCAAAGTCGACGTAATTTAACTTCGGTCAGTAACGTCTGCGAAGCAGTGCCGAAATCCTTGTTTGGGCCCACAACGGACTCAATGATTTACCGGAAATGCGTTTCGTATTTCCCTTCAACCTGATTGGCCAATCGACAAAGGCCTTTTTAACAGGCCAATCATAGCGCGTTCTTAAATCCTGGAACACAGTTAGGGACTCAGAACAAGGATTTCGGCGCTAGTTGGCAGACGGACTTAACCAGAGTTTAGTTTCGTCTGTGGCGCGGGCTAAAACAACCCGACAAGCTCCTATATGCCGTTGCATCTGTAAACAACCTGTCTACAGTAATCATAACGATTCACACTTCTCACTCTGCGCATAACTTTATCAGGAAGTTTATGCAGTCAAAAGGGGGACAGTTAATAAGGACAGGTTTCCTTACCAGACATATAAGCGATATTTTCTCCATAGTCATTCGAGGAACTTGATTGAATACAGTTCCTACTTGCCAACTCCTCTGCCCATCTTTGAGCTTCGCTTGCCAGTTGCGAGTTCCATTTCAGTGCACTGACGCCGTGTCGAGAACGAATTTCGTTGTGTGTCGTAAGAATCTCTTTGTTAAATTCCCTGGTACTTTCTGGTTGGTAAAAGAGAAGAAAGAAATGAATGCATGAAATTGGATGGGATCGTCATTCCAACCTCGTCCCAGGGTTTCCCCCGCTCGGCTCCACTGGACTGGCTAAAAAGGCACCCTGGGAACGAGTTGGCATCTAGTGTATTCGATCTTCCTCGACCTAACCTTGTTAGGACCTTAGCTACGATAAATGCTTTGTTGAGGGAAGGGGACGGGAAGCAATGTCACGCGATCCTTGTAGGGGTGTCCTGGAAATTTTAAAATTCTGTGTGTAGGATGTGTCGTTGAAACTCCAACTTCCCTCCTTGCAGAGGTCTCTCATAGCGTAAAGAAAAAAGACATTTTTCTCTTGTTGGCTTGTTCTTAAATTTCACGTGTCTCTTTAGTCCAACCGTTTTTTCCTTCAGTGGGTTGATGGGTGGGGGAGATGAGGTTGGGGAAAGGTTAGCCCTTTAGTCAATTATGTCACCAGTGTCACTAACTGGAACAGTTTTGTTTTGAAGG